GGGAGGAGAGAAAGGAAGAAAAGAGGGGGGGGGAGATGAGAAAGGAAGGAAGGAGGGAGGAAAAGAGAGGAGAGAGAGGAAAGCAAAGAGAAAGGGAGAGGGATGAAAGAAGAGAAAGGAAGAAAGAGGGGTGGGGAGAGAGGAGAGAAAGGAAAAGTGTGGAGGAAGAAGAGGAAGAAAAGAAAGGAACGGGAGGAGAAGAGATGAAGGAAAGGACAGGAAAGGGAAGGAGAGGAAAGAAGAGGGAGGGGGAGGAGAGGAGAGGAAAGAAGAGGGGAGGGGGAGGAGAGGAGAGGAAGAGAAGAGGGGGGGGGATAGTAAGGAAAAGAGAGAGGGGGGATAAAAAGAGAAAAGAGAAGGGGGGGGAGAGGAGAGGAATAAAATAGAGAAAGGAGAAAGAGAGGAGAGGAAGGAAAAGAGAGGAGAATGAAGGAGAATAAAGAGGAAGAGAAGAGAGGAGGGGGAAAGGAGAGGAGAGGAAGAAAAGAGATAAGGGAGAAAGAGAGAGAAGAGAGAAAGAGACGAAAGAGGAGGGGGAAGAGGAAGGAGAGGAGTGGACGGGAGAGACGAAGGAGGGGATGGAGGGGGGGGGGTGTTCATCTTGACAGTTCAGTGACAAGCGAAGAACACCCCGATGAAGGATCAGTGGAGCCGAGTTTACCGAGTTTTGTCTAGTTGGTGTGATCTCTTCTCCCCTGTCTGTCTGTCCTTCTGTCTATTCTCTCTTTAGTTTCTCTTTCTTCTTCTTTTTTTTCTTTCATTTCTTTCTTTATTTTCTTTTTATTCTTCTTTCTTTCTTTCATTTCTTTCTTTATTTTCTTTTTATTCTTCTTTCTTTCTTTCATTTCTTCCTTTCATTTCTTTTTTTATTTTTTTGTTCATTTCTTTCACTTCTTTCATTTATTTCCTTCACTTTTTTTCACTTCTTTCTTTCTATTATTCTTTCATGTTTTATACTTCCTTTCTTTTCTTCTATTTATCTATCTATTGTTTGTTTATTTTCCCCTCTCTCTTTTTTTTCTTTTTCATTCTTTTATCTCTCTCTCTCTCTTTCCTTCTTCCCTCTCTTTTTTCCTTCTTTCTTTTCCTTTTTGTTTTGTTCTTTCTGATTTATTTTTTCATTCTCTATTTTTCTTTCTTTCTTTCCTTCCTTCCTTCTCTCATTCTGTCTGTTATTGTCTTTTTAATAATAACAATAATAGTGATAGTAATGACGATAATAATAATAATACGGATAATATAAATCATAATAACAACAACAACACTAATAATATTAATAATAATAATAATAATGATAATGATGATATCAATAATAATAATAGTAGCAATAATAATAACAGTAATAATAATGATAACATCAATAATGTATAATGATATAAATGACAATGATAATAATAATGAGTATTATATCAACAATAATGATATTAACAGCATTAACAAACACCAACAATAACAGCAACAATGATAAGGGTAATAATGATAATAATTATGATATTATTAATATCAATGACATACGTAACAGTGACAGTAACGATAACGATGATAATAATAATAATAGTAATGGTAAAAATGGTAATGATAAGTATAATGTTGATAACAATAATGATGATAACAGTAATAACAATCATAATAAAAAGATAATAATGATAATAACAATAATAACAATAACAGTCATAATGATAATAATCAAGATAATAATAACAATAATGGAAGTAAACATTTTAAATAAAGAATAAAGAGAATAGTGGATATCCAGAGGCTATACATCAATTTCCCCTCACCCCCCCCTCAACCCTTACCCTGCCCCCCCCCCCCCCCCCACACTCGGTATAGGGTGATTGACAGGCCGGAGTAATACAGGGAAATTCCAGCACAGGACGTGGCTTGCGGGAGAAATTCTTAGAAGATGGAGGGAAGGGGAGGGGGGGGGAGAGGGAGAGGGGGAAGGGGGGGAGGGGGAGGGGAAGTTATAGAATACTGATACCTCTTTTCCCCTCTTTTTTTTTTTCTTTTTTTTTTTCTTTTTTTTTTTAGCGGAGGGGGTTCGGGGTAAAGGGGAGATGATAAGGGGGGGGTTGTGGGCTATGTGGGGGGAGGGGGGAGGGGAGAAGCAGGGGGGTTGTTGGTGGGGGTTATGAAACTTCGTTTAGGTAGAGGTTGTTACTATATTAAAAGGATGTAGGTGATGGATGAAGGGTTATTGGGGTTGTGTGAGACTTATGGTTGTGGTTGGGGTAGGTTGTGGAATGTTGGGGAGTCAATGAGGCTGTTATTGTTACTTTTTTATCTCTTATCAGTTTAAATGATCATCCCCTTTTTTCCTTATGTGTATATATATATATATATATATATATATGTGTGTGTGTGTGTGTGTGCGTGTGTACATATTCATACATACATACACATACACACATATATATTTCCATTGACCCCAAACATCCACCCACTCCCCCCCCGCCCCGGCCGCTTACTCACCCTCGCACTCCCCCACCCCCCCTCTCCGCCCCCAACCCACC